ACATAAGTAGCTTCCAATGGTGACGAAACAGACAGCTCTCTCTCTCTCTCTCACAGCCACTAGACGAACGCAGCCGCTCTTTTTGGGCGGTCACCATGGGCTGTGGTGCCTCTGCTGCGAGGGCCGCCGTCTCCCCCCACGCTGTCGCCAGCTCGCTGGCTCCCCCCAGTACAGACACCAACAAGGAGCCTTCAGAAGCCCAGGCCGGAGTGGGAGGGCCTGCCGCGGTGGCAGCAGAGCCGGACGAGCTGGAAGGGCTGCTGGCAGCGCTGGAGGAGCACGCGGACAGCAAGAGCCGCCGCACGGGGACGCCGGCCACGCAGCCGCAGGATGCCGGTGGGCAGCGCCCGGAAGGAGCGCTCCGCAACGGGGACCTGGAGCAGCTGCTGAGCGAGCTGCAAGAGGAGACAGAAGAGGACTGCGCCCGCACGAGCAGCAAGCCCACTGCGCTTGCAGCTCTGGCTGCGCCTCTGGCCGCGCTGACCCCGCCCGGGCCCGCCCCTGCGCGGCAGCTTGCCCCGCTCAAGGTCACCGGCCGCGCACCCATTGCCTCACGCCTGGCACCCGCGCCAGCTGTGCAGCTGCCACAGGGGTCTCCTGCTGCTGGGAGGGCGGGTGTGTCCCCCACAAGTCCCGGGGCCATGCGCGGCAGCACATGGGCAGGCAGCTGGGTGGCAGAGCTAGAGCCCCCCGACTCGGTCACGCTCTTGAGCATTGACCACCGCGGAGGGAGGGGCAGCGCAAGCCGTGCGTCCAGCCTGGGGTCGCCCTCTACCGCATCCACGACCTACATCACATTTGACTTGCTGCCGGACGGAGACCGCACGAGTGCGGAGGGGGAGGGGGAGGGGGAGGGGAGCCTGGGCCGGGGCAGCGCAGCAGGGGCCGGGGCCGGAGGCGCAGGGCTTGCGGGGGGCAGGGAGGAGCCCCTGCGGAGGAGCGGTGCACAGAGCGCCAGGGACGGGCTAGAGCAAAAAGCAGCGGAAGTGGACGAGCTGCTGCGCGATGTTTTCGAGGACCACGCAGGGCCCCAGCCCAGACCCAGGGCGGGAGCGGGGGCGGCCCCTGCAGCCGTGGTGGGGGTCAAGGGACAAGAGGGACTAGTAGGGGGGGAAAAGCTGAGAGGAATTGACGAGAGCGATGGTCATGGCAAGCTGCAGCCCAGGACAGAGAGACCAGGCAGCAACACTGACGAGGCAGGGCGGCGCTGGGAGGGGACGCTGGCCAGCCGCAAGCTGGCAGCAGATGCTGGAGCGGAGGGACCGCCCACAACAGGGTGGCAGTCTGGCAAGTCGGGGGAGGTGGCGGCGACCATCTCTAACCGAACGAGCTCGCTTAAACATCTCGAGGAGAAACGTGTTGATGGGTCTGGTCATGATGTGACTAATGGAGAGTTACCCGGGATTTGGCAGCGCAGAGAGGCAGGTGAGGAAGAGGGCCGGCGAGAGGATGGCGCCAACATCCTGGACCTGGACGACCTGGAGGACATCGCACGGGACGAGGACATAGAGGGGGAAGCATCACAATGGGGGGCGGGGATGATGCCGGGAAAGAGGTCGGATGGCAACGGTGGACACCTCGAGTATAACAACCTGCACTTCGAAGAAGACGAGAGATCAGACACTCAAAGTGGTGACAACGTGGAGCGGTGGTCTTGCCGGGGGCGGCGCTCGTCCAGCAACGTTGAGCCGGCCAGCACGGAGTACGTGCTGGAGGTGGACACGCTGGAGCTGGAGGAGGATGCATGAGGCGGCGAAAAGCACATGGGCGGATCAGCTGAAAAAACGGAGCAAGCAAGAGAGTGGCACCGGATGGACTAGTTTGGGGCACATGTCATAGCGCGAGAAAACGCGCGAGTTGAGCGGTTATCGTCTGCGTCATTAGCAAGTATTCTAGATGTACTTATGGTCTCCTTATGGTCGACATATTTTGAGCACAAATAGCCTCGGGAATGCGTATGTTTGCATCATGCACGCTTATGAACGAATCAATGCTTAAATCCAATTTCAAATCATAGTGGCCATGGGCCGCGGCGATCCTGAACAACCCTCGAATATTGCAATATACCTATTGCAACAAGCCGATTAGCATTGCATGCACACCGCTTTGTTGGACTCATGAGGAAGTTGACAATGATGTTTGGATTCTCGATCAGCGAGGACGTCGATCGGATGGGCACGTCGATCGGTGATCGTTAGAAGAGTTTAACATGCAATCATGTTGCGTGCTGTAGTAAAATCTCTGTGCCCAAAGTGCAGAGTGCTGCAGGGCGACATAAGTTCATAAATATCAAAAGCACGCTGAGTTACACCTAGCTGCTATAAACCATTTGCAACCGCTGGTTGACATCATTGTTGCATGAAAGGGCGGCGCCGTGGCGTGTTTGAAAGATGTTTGTGCAATTTCGACGCTTTGCAAAGACTCTAGGATCAACACGTACTAAATATATGCCAAATATTTGGTGCAATTTAATCTATACATGACTGATTAAATGACCTTCCTTTACAATATAGCCAACAGGGGTGTCCATGCACAGCCGGCGTGGAGCGCGGTCTGAACGTTCGACGCTGTGCGGCGCGGCAAGGCGAAGTTATTGGCACCACTGATCAGGCCATGGAAGCCTATGGCCCATGTGGCTACGGCGTTTTGAAAAGAGAACATCAGGCTCATGTGCATATGTGTACGTGTCATGCATCATGATCTATAAAGTGCATGCGGTGCAAAATTTAGATGAGGACATTTCCTTTAGTAAACCACATCAACCGGACGTCAAACTCATGCAGACATTGACTGGTAGCCGCAGCAAGCTCTGCGGAGTCAAAACTCAACCGAACAAAGTCATATGCTTTATACATGCCGGAGACCGTGCTCATGCATTCACAACGGCTCAGCTATATATAAGGGCGTTGCATGATTAAATCAATACCTATGTCGGACCGTGCTACATAATTTAAATGATGCTCAAGTAGGTCTAGGCGGGGCATGCTGAATGATTCCATATACAGATCATGCATGATTGAAAACCCGAGAACATCCGCGAGACAGACGGTTGTTGCTTCTTTAAGTTTGCCGACGGTAGGTTGTTGGACGGCCCAGACATCACTGATCAGCAGCCACAACAAGCTGCAAAATTGATGCTTACCGTACTGTCTCTCATTACATGGCTGGACTCGCGAGCATGTTGCCCATGCAATTGTTTAAAGAGGGCGCTTAAGGATTCATAGGAAGGGACAATCGAATCTCCTACGCAGGAAGGGCCCATAACGGCTCGATAGCTTGTCTTCTGTTTGAGCTCGGAAACATTCCCGGGGAGATACGAGTTTGGTGGCTGTCTTGGCCAAAGTCCGAATCAAACAAAACTCAGTTGCAACCGCATTTACCTGGAGACTTCCAATATGAATCTTGGCGTGATTCAATAATTGGCTGACAAAGCATCAGCTTCTAGGCCATGCTAGGTCACGGTCAGTAGTTTGTGATTCCGACATTGACATTAAGGAGAGAAAGGACTGGAAGCTGCTAGCAGATGCAAGCTGTCCTTACCTGGATATGCTGAATTGTCCCATTTCCTACAGCTCTGAGCCACTTGTGGCGCGCACAAGTACTACTTGGGATAACGTCCTAACACTGGTCAAGAGAATCGTTGTCCAACTTCGGGCCAAGTAAAGACAGGGCTGCGGTTGCAGGTTCTGAACATCACCTATACAAACGCCGCTCGCTCGCCAACAGCAGATTTTACGAAATTCGTCCTCGAGGTTGAGATGGATTACAAAATCTCAAACGTTTTCTGGAGGGAGGCCCCCCCAGACCGTACTGCCAACCTGCTTGTAACCTAAGCTCGGCAGCGATCGCCCTGCTGAGACGGGAAAGAGAAATTCCTTCCGTGGCGTACTTCCATGGTGACCCAGCCATGCTGGCTCACGCTGTGTTGAGGGTGTGCCTGGGGATGTACTTCTTCCCGCGATCTTCACACAACGTCTGCAGAGAGCAATTACAATCCATCCCCATTGAACAACCTCGTGCAGAATGCTCGCAATCTCAAACGAGTCGCAAGCACGGACTTAATAAGCTGGCCAGCCAGCTTGCTAGCATCCCACCAACATGCTGCACATAATCGAGCGGGTTCACAGACAAACTGACCAAATACCTTCTCAAATACCACCTGCCGTACATGCAGAGACAGTACGGCCAGTCCATGGCACCTGCATGCCTGCAACATCAGCGCCAGGTGGCAGGCCAGGTGGCAGGGCGCAGCGAGAGGCTCCTCACCTGCAGTTCCTCGGACATGGGCTCCGCCACATGGACTGCATAACACCCGGGCACAAACTTGCCTGTGGCAAAGGCGAGGAGGGGATGAAGGTGTGAACGAGAGCTTTACCGGCAGAAGAACACACGCGCGGTGTGCCAACGACAGTGGCCAACTGTAGGCATGAGGGGACCGCATCACCCAAGGGGACCGCATCATGAGCAAGCTCAACCAATGGAAGGCTTCAGCACCGGAGGTCTCCATCATCCAGACCAAAGTGTGCAAGCATCTCGACCTTTTCCTACCAGGTCGTTTCTGCAAGGCGTTTTCCCCCCTCTTCCCGGAGATGCTTGGATCTTGAATTTGTCACTTACACTATGAACCATCTGCTGAACAGCAATCTCAAGACAACACAACAAATTGCTGTTTCAGTACCAAATAAGGGGCCGATTAATGTTGACATTGTCTGAGTAATGCATGAGGGTGGAAAATGGTCCTGCCACTCGTCCACTCACCTATTCTCTGATAGCGAGCAACCCAGCTGGCGTCAGGGTGCATCAAGGCAATCACACTGCCCAGGGCCATGAAACAAAGTGAGCCTCTGTCTCAACTAATCACGCTGAACACACAGTGTAGAGGCAGCAATACCCGAAAGCTTGGGATGAAACACCACCCTCCAATGTTTGCAGCTCCCATCCCAGATGTGAAGGAGTGGGTGTGCAACAACGCATTCTAGTGCCCAAGCTTCAACAAACCAACAGCATTGTCAAGGCGTGTCAATCAAAGTGGTGCAAGTGGTCCGCCTGGCTAGATTTCACGGGAGCATATGATCAGTGGACTAGGACACGTATACACTCAAACTCCGGAAGTCTACTTTTTTATGTGTATCTGCAATCGTTTACTGGCCAAATTACTAGCATAGGAATGGAGGCTTTTCTCCCCTTCACAGAGCTGTCAAGCACAGCATCATTTAAGAACAGGTTCTGAGCTGGTCTAAGAGCTTTACATTGCCCGCCGGTCCTGCCCTTGGTCACTTACCCTGAGAAGTTGTGCGTTGTGCATTCCAGGACCCGATCCTTGTCCCGCTCCATGACAAAGAAATCGCAATTTTCACAGCCAGCCTCCAAAAACTGTACAAGCAGAAGCGCCCAGCGAGGGCTCAGCAGACACAAATCAGAGAGGAAGAGACAGCAGCCATATTGAGATATGCACTCTACGTCATAGCACCACCAGTAACACCACAAGGAGAAACAAATAATAAGAATCTTCGAAGCTCTAAACTGTTGGTTGCTTGCTCACCTGTTCAAAGGTTTTCACAAGAGAGCATCGCAGGCAGGCCCGCAAGCTGCGACCAAAGTCGGTTGGGACAGCTGCTGCCGGCATTGTTTCCGCCATAGGGGTGCCCCAGAGCAGAGAGATTGCGGCCACTGGAAAAATCTGTTTTAGGCGTCACCTGAACTCGATGCACAGGCGATGTACATGGGACTAGAGCCAGAACTTCTCTTTGAATGTGCATAGGTACTGCTGCTTACATACATTCACAAAAGAAACCGCCGTCTGGAGGTCATCCGGCACTTACATATGGGAACCACTTGCGGTGCACTTCATTGATACTGCAGAGCCCCAACCAACTTCGACCAAGAACATGGTGGTGCCAATCTCCGTAGCACCGACACCCCCGGCTGCTCTCAGAAGAAGTGGCAGGCAGAGACCTTTGACCAATTCAACTTGAAGTTGCGCCCTTCCTTGACCCACTCCAGCCAGCAAACTTGTCATTGGTACAACTTTTAATACAAGACTATGTACACCTTCAGCCTACGGTACTTTAATATAGGTAGACCGTAGGTAGTTGTAGTGGGTACCTACCGTACCGGCAAGGGAATTCACCACCTTTTGGTGTGAAAAGCATCCTGAGGTTTCACCGGGCGCGTTGAAATTTTATTTTTTCATTTCACACAAGCACTTGTTTTGCTTTCCACACACTCTATTAGCAGCCCAAAATGATACTTATGATTCCAGAAAATGTTAGTTTCACCTTTTCACAGTTGGGGTGACCCTTGGTTTTGTTAACCCTTTTACAACTTTAATTTGTTGAAAGTACGGTACCGGTACTACTTGCAACAAAAACACCTGGCCCTGCACCTAGGCCGCTGCATGGGACCTGGGCTTGGGGTCTTCAGACTGAAACTTTTCATGCAGGAGCCTAGGCGAGTAGGTAGCTCTGGCTTGGAGGCGGAGCTCTGGAGGCGCAATAACTTGGGCATAAGAAGCTGAACCCACCTTGATTGTCTGTGTGCTTCATGCGGCCTCAACTCACGCTACCATTCAGCATCACAGGCACTGGCAGCCAATTGGGAAGTCGACCTTTGTGTAATTAGTCCACTGAGTGGAGCTTCCAATCCGTAAGACATCGGACCTGCCTACATGTGAGTCAAATCTGCGCAGAGTAATTCGAAAAGGTTGGAGCCAAAGAAGGGGTATAGCGGTAGAATTAAGGACATAGCAGTCCTTCGTCATGAGTGTTCCGGCCATAGTCGCCGCAAATCCACACGCTGGACTGGATGGACAGATTTCCCAACTGCACGAGTGCAAGCCTTTAGCGGAAAATGAGGTAAGGTGTCTCCGTTGAGTTGCAGCTTCCTGTGATTGGAGGCATGAGTGCGGCAAGCTTGACTCCAAATATGAGCTGTTGCAAACAGGAGGAGGTTAGCAAATTGCTCTATGGCCCATGCAGATACAGGTTTTGGATATGAACACCTATTTTTCTGCTGCTGGCATCTCATCTTGCGACGACAGAGGAAATTGGACAGCTTGACATACCAAGAGATTCTGCTGCAGGTCAGAGCCCTTTGTGAGAAGGCGAGGGAGATACTGATAGAGGAGAGCAATGTCCAAGTAAGGTTGACGGACGAACGTTCCTGTCCAATTATAGTGTGTTCGTGCTCATTGTGGATGGTCTAGCTATTCTGAAGGCAGCCGCCGAAGCGCAGGTCTCATCTGATTCCAAAATTGGCTCGTGCAGCACAACAGAACCCTAGTTTTGGTGTCTTGAGAACCTACTTGATTCTGCTAGCCTACATGTTTGGTAATTTTCTGCATTCTTTGCTGTCCTGCAGCCAGTGAAGTGCCCGGTCACAATATGTGGTGATGTGCATGGGCAATTCCATGATTTGGCAGAACTCTTCAGAATCGGAGGAAAAGTGAGTGCTCTATTGCGTCTGCGTGTTAGAATCTGAAGTATTGAGCTTTTGATCCAGCAGGAGTATGGAACAAGGCAAAGAAGCAGCTGTAGCATTAAAGCTCTTTTAAGGATAACGTGCACTTTTGCTTATCTGGACACCATACAGAGGTCGCTGGGTTTTCTTTGCGATCCTTCATGTTTGCCAGATTGCACTGAAGTGGTGTACAAAGCCTTGCTTATCTCCTGCATCGGTCAGAAAGCATTTGATTGCTCTTCCTTGCAGACACCCGATACAAACTACTGTTTTTTGGGTGACTACGTGGATAGAGGCTACTACTCGGTCGAAACTGTAACGGTAAGGTGGTATCACCTTTCCTGACCGTTTTTGACAAGCTCACAAGCAGAGACGGAGGTGTTTTGTTGCCCTGCTTCTGCTTTGATTGCCTCCTTCATTGTGGACCTGATGGTTGGGCTATCATAAGCTCAGAGAATACTAGATAGCCAATGACCAAATATCCGTATTCCAATTGTTAGGGTTCAAGAGGGGCTTTGGAATGGTATGCATTCAGGGCTTGTCTTGGAAGATGAATGTGTCTTGGTGGGAGTCTAGTATTAAGCATTGATGCTAGGAATGATCAAGTGTTTCATGAAGTTCAGGAAAATGCTTTCAAACCTGCTCCTGAGGCTCTTTTTCCTGCAGCTTCTGGTTGCCCTGAAAGTACGATATCCAGATCGTATCACCATATTGAGGGGCAATCACGAAAGCAGACAGATCACGCAAGTGTATGGCTTTTACGACGAGTGTCTTAGAAAGTAAGCCGCAGTCTGAGCTCTCATCATCAGATTCTGTCTTGTTAGAACTTTGGTCAATCCCACCAGCCACACGCCGCTCTCAAGCTATGGTGCATCCTACGCTTTCCATGAAAAAGTGGCCCTGTGTTGTGGTTGGATGGTTCAGCTTTTGAGGTCTGCTTGGGGTGCCTTGCTCAAGTCTGCTCGTCAAGTGCCGCAGCAGCTTCACAAGACTATCTAATGCCTAGTTATTTTCTTGATTAGCCCAGCGATGCTCTGCTGCAACACCCTGACCCCTCCACTGGGTTATATGACAGGTACGGAAACGCAAACGTCTGGAAGATCTTCACAGATCTTTTCGACTATTTTCCTCTGACTGCTTTGGTAAGTGATCTGTGCCCCATGCACTGGTGTTGGTCTCAAAGGTCAGACTTGCTTCCATAGCTTTGTTCTTCGCCAGGACTGGCTATCATCTCTGCAAGGCTGCGGTAGACCAGCGCCCCATGTGTTGTGGAGATGCAACAGCCGTAGCGCCTTCTCAAGAACTTCAGCAAAGCTGGCTAGGCCCTTCCAATCTCCCTGTGCCGCACTCTGGGTGGCACTGTGGCAGTAGTCCCTTGTTCAGAGTTCCCCGCTTGTATAGCTGCTTCAGTTCCAGGCGTCAGGATCAGGCCGTAACAGGCAGTCATTGACAGCACGCTCCAAGATGCGGCCTGGAGTGGTGGCGCCTCTTCGCCCCCTCATGCCGTCTGTGCGCTAACCTGCGCCTTGCTGTGTGGGTTGTGCAGGTTGAGAACCAGATTTTCTGCCTGCATGGGGGCCTCTCGCCGTCCATTGACAGCCTAGACCACATCCGGGACTTGGACCGCGTACAGGAGGTGCCCCACGAAGGTGGGCACCCATGCCGGTGCACAGGCCAACCCTGTGCACACGTCTGAGCCAGTCGGAGCAACTGGGAGAGACGCTTTGAGGGCACCATACGATGATAGTCTTGCTCGACTGCGTATTGAAAGGCCTTGTCCTGGAGCCCGTTCTGGTGAAATGGTACGGTTGCCTTTGCTTGAGCTGCCTGTCATGGGACCTGCATGTTTTCACCTCGCAGGTCCCATGTGCGACCTGCTGTGGTCGGACCCCGACGATCGGTGTGGGTGGGGCATTTCCCCGCGTGGGGCGGGGTACACGTTTGGGCAGGACATCAGCGAGCAGTTCAACCACAACAACAGCCTCAAGTTGGTGGCGCGGGCGCATCAGCTGGTCATGGAGGGCTACAACTGGTGCCACGACCACAAGGTCGTCACCATCTTCTCAGCGCCGAACTACTGCTACCGCTGTGGTGAGCGCGCCCATCACCTGGCCGACGCACTTCTGTTCAGAGCTTAGGAGTGGATTGTACCTTCATATCCGGCGGATAGTTCATAATTGCCCAGCAACGGACTCTCTGATGGCCTTCAACATGGTAAAGTTCCATCATCTGTGACGTGGTGCAGGTAACATGGCCGCAATCCTGGAGGTGGACGATAACATGGGGCATACTTTCATCCAATTCGAGCCTGCACCTCGACGTGGGGAGCCGGATGTCACCAGACGAACACCGGATTACTTCCTCTAGGGTCGTTTGAGCTGGACGTTCTATGCAAAAGCAGACTCAAAGCAACGGTGGTGGACCTAAGAAGCAATTGTTTTATGTAATCTTCAGAAAGGTCCTTTGCTGTGGCAGACCAAAAACATGTATCGCAGGTGTGCTTAACTTGCAGAGTGGCGGAAGATGTGTATGGTCGACGTGCTGCTCAGCCGAACATGAGGGGATCTTGGCGGAAGCCCTTTCAGTGCTCGCAACCTTTTTCTGAAACTTAGCACGGCCTGAAAGAGATCTGGGGCTTGCATTCATTGACTGGATGCCAGTCTGCAATGGCGATCCCTTTTGTGCTCCATATTGCGAGACTGGCCTGAAGCAGTTTGACATGGCAGGTCTGGTTTCTTTAGACTATGCTATGGATGCCAGCTCGAAATAGCTGCTGGTGCGCCCCTTCTTTGATTTAGGCTCCCCAATTTCGCGGATTGATTACCACATCCCACATTTGCCAGTGTCTTTTGGTGGCACCACGCGTTTTCCAGCTAGTACACGGTTTTGTTCGCATGCAACACCCGCTAGTGGCATGTGCAAAGTACTTCATCAAGGCAGTGGCATTGCATTCAATGATGATGAAGCAAAGGTCCCATTCTTGAGCTCAATCTACTATCAGCTTGTTATAATTATGGTATTCGCTTCAAGGCTTATCTTGCTCAATATCAACGTGTATGTGTTCATATACTCAAATGGTGTTCTCTTTTCAATGTTTGGTTGGCTTAATTTGATTTTCATGTATTTTCTAGACTAGTAGTACACGAATGACTAGCTTCAAAGCGGGTCAAAATGGATGAAAGGTCTTACTAACTGACTAACACTATAATTAGTTTTGCATCAGGCTTAATTTGCTACGTACTGCTTCAATTCAATTTGTCACGTTGCAAAGCTTCGCTCTACGTTGGCGGAGTCCAATTTTAGAAACGTGTTCGATTTGCGACTTCCACGCGTACAAGCTCAGATTTCCTCTAGGAGGGCTATAGGCACGAAGACTGAAATTTGCTTAGGATCCAATCACCTTAAGATCAGGCAAGGCATGATGATCGATGTGACACGCAAATAGGCCGGGTTGCAACAATATGAAGTTGCAAAGCTTGAGATATATCATGCAGTGCAAGTGCTAAGGCCATGAACGAACATAACAAACTAATAACTACAGACATTCAATAACGATTCCGTATATTTAATTCTAGCTTAACACTAAGATTTTCTACTCGCGATATACTCAATATTCAAGTTGTATATATCCGACTCTTGATGTACACAATATCGTTTACATGAAGATTGTATTCGTGGCCCAACTGCTTCAATACTTGAAGAGATATCTCTAGCGCGCTAGCAATATATTGCAGGGCTCAGTAAGGGAATGATATATGCATGCAGCCGCCGTACTGACTCGGAGCATGCAAGTTGCGGAGACTACAAGTTTCATGCACTCGGCGGAGCGTTGCATGCCCGTGATGGCGCTCAGTATTAAAGCTTGGCTCGGGGTTCAATTTATCGTACAACAACAAGCCGCGGCCTATGAGTGACCACCGCATGCACAGCTAGCCTGAGCGCTGGCATAGTGACATTAGTCATTCATGCCACTGAATCGGATCCGATCATATAGCTGCGGCCCGGCGCGCGTTCAAGTTAGCTGCATATGCACATAACTGCGAATGAGGAGGCTATGTATCCGAGGGACCAAGGGCTAGTGTCAGCCGGGTGTCAGCCGTGACCAAGGCGCGGCGCCATATATTTACGTACAAATAGTATGTTACACTTATAGAGCCTGCATCATTGCCAGCTCTTGGACGATCGATCAAAAATCCGAGCCTTGCCAAGATGCGACATCATGCATTGGCCGGCTCGCATACACTGACTGAGGCTGCATGTGCACTCTTACCTGCTAATTGGAAAGGCATTAGAGCCGTAGAGCTCGACCGGTTAATTTCCGCGGCCGGCCCGGGCCAGGCTCAGTGGCCGCTCATGCAGCTCTGATTCGATCATGCACCGCGTCACTGGGGCCGCGGTGATCGATTAACTATTTGTCTCTTATAAAAATCAAAGATTTCATGCATTGGAAGCGGTATTTCCGCCATGGCTATATATAGCCTCTGGTACGTTGCTTGATCGAGGACTTTGAACATGACGCGGTGAACTTGAACCGTCTAGCTTGCCGCGCAATTTTTTTTACTAATTATATATAACGGTCTGCGAAATGTACCTTGATCGATTATAGTCCTATATGCAACTGTTCGATCATATTGTATAAGTTATGTAGCATGTACGCTGCATGGAGTCCATGTTTCAACTTCACCTCAGCGCCGGGCCGGCCGAGACCGTTAGAGTACGTCGTCGATCTTGACTACGTATCCAACATGATCGTCGGATCATGCTGCATGTTGTCCGGCGAGTCACTGGAGTGGTTTGTGATCGAGTCGAGCTAGCCTCGGAGTCCGATTATTATCTGTTTACAGCTTGTCAAGTTCGGTCCACAATTCGTCCTTGCTGTCAATGACATGCAAAAGGTTGCTTGAAAACTATGATCACCAGTGCGCCTGCCAGCAACTACAGTAACCCATTGCATGCATATAGGTGCCACCAAAGTTTTGAAACATATACTTTTCGGATCATGTGCCTCCAATATCTTGAAACATATATACTCAACTCATGCAAAGTGAAGTGTTCAGACCGTGTTCCAGGATGACGATCCTTCGAGATTTTGAAGACAAATATTGAGAAACCATGCTTTACAGAGAATTCCTGCACACCGCGACATGACGCCGTGACAGTCTTATTTAGCAAAGGAATCGATCAAGTAGGATGAAATCTGCTGTATAATCTCGAGACTAAGATGCGATATCGATTGGATACCATCAATAAAAATATATATATGCTTACAACTTTGCAAAAGCTTACACGAATCTACGTAGAGTGTGTCCGGATGACAAGATTGATTAAGCGGCGTGCTTTGTACACCTCTGGTCGGACTGTTTGCACGCTTACCCCCTAGGTGTTGCGCAACAAGGCATTGCAGGGGCGGAGCAGACAGTCGTACGGCAAGGACGTGCAGCGCCCATGCGGCGCCACCATCTTTGGTACAAACGCTCCCAGCTCTCAGGCCCCATGCAGCACAGGCTACTGCAATCTTCTTCCCAGTTGCCTACCTCTTTCGGTATGCGTGCACTCTGGGTAAAGCAGGCCGATCAGACCACCAGGAGATCTTCGACGTCCTTCTTAAATGGCCCCCGTAGCTTGGCAATGGCGGTGTTCTACAGGACACCATGGGAAGAAATGCGTTGTAACCTCTGCCGGGCGTTTCTCGCATGACATGAAGGAAGAGCAAAGAGATAACGCGCACGCTTGCGCATATGCGCTCCCAAATCTGAAAGTTTGCAGCGTCATAATGCAACGCGTGGCAGATTGAAGTCGTCACGTCCCCGGCACAATGTGCTTACCTGCAACTTGGCAACCTTGGCAAAGCGTACGCTGGCGAGCTTCGATGTCTGCATTCAGATGGAAAAATCAACATCAGTGCTCCCGTCTCTCAACACGGATGCGCAAGGTCGGGATTGCTGCGAGTGGCGCACAGTCCGCATGCAAGCACGCCCTTGGCCTGTATTGCCCGGCCGCATGTTCAAGCCCCCGGCTGGGCGCGGCGCCTAAAACCGTACCTGGGCCAGGTTGTGCACGGGCTGCCCGCGCAGGCCCAGCCGCAGCTCCAGCACGCGCGCCTCCTCCGCCTCCAGCTTGCACAGCAGCCGCTCGATGTCGTGCGGCGCGCCCTCCTGCGCCAGCATCTGCACACACCCACGGGGGCGCTCGATCATCCGGAGTCGCCCGAGCGCCCTGAGCCGCCGAGCCTCTCATCTCTGCACCCACTCACTTTCCTGCCACTCATACAGCAAGCAGGACCTCTTTTCATCACGGGATCATGCGTGCAGCAGCGCGGTGGGGCTGACCTCGTAGGGGTCCTTGTGGCAGTCGGGGTCGGCCAGCTTGTCGGCCCAGTCCGCCACGCGCTCCCCGCTGGCCAGGCTGCGCTGCAGCAGCGCGGGGCCACCGCTCTCCAGGGAAACCACCTCCTGCGACGCCGCCAGCAGCAGGCGCACCGCGCCCTCGCTCAGCCGCACCGCCGCCGCGGTCTCCGCCAACGTCGCAGGCCGGCCCAGCTGCACCAGCAGCAGCTGCAGCAGAGGGGAGAGTGTGTGTGGGGGGAGGGTCGAACGGCGAGACCGGTTCGAAGAGGCGGGGGTAAGTCGACCGGGAAGGCAAAGAGCATGCGAAGGCAGAGTGGGTCAGGAAGACGGGCAGAAGTCACCAGGGAGGCCGCTGCGGAGAGGACTCCACGAGGACCAGGGAGGGGAGCAAGGGGACGGGCGGGGCGGGCCTCACTGCTCGGGCCTTGGCGATCTTGCTGAGGCGGTCCCAGGCGTACGCGGGCAGGCGCACCAGCCGGCTGTCCTGCCGAATGGTCGCCTGGATGCTCTGCACGGCAGCAAGGCGGGCCGTCAGAAGGCAACGGCCAGGAGCATGCGCCCCGGCCCGGGAAGCGGCCATAGCCCTCGGGGCTGTGACGCGGTTGAGACCAAGAAGAGGGAGGACTCCGCTATCTTACAAACCAAGAAACACGTTCCTGGCATAAATGCCACAAAGGGCAAAACCATTGAGACGGTTCAGGTCCACCAATTTAACTGGCTCATCGTGGATTAAAATTCATTACAGCACTTTTCTCATGAAAACACAACATGGCGAGAGCAACGCAAGTGAGGCTGATTGCTCGGAAAGCCTTTCCCACTTGAGATCCGTGCGACAATGAGCTGTAGAGGGGACACCACTCAAAAGCCGTGTGAAAGCAACGAAGTGCTCAGCCACCCTCAGGCGTGCCTTCCTGTGCACACGAGGGCGGCAGCAGGCGTACCAGGATCTTTGACGAGAAATCCGCGACCATCTTCAAGGCACTCTCTTGCGCTACACATCCATCATGCAAGTCGGGCAGCGCGTGGCGCGGGGCTGACCTGGCGGATCCAGTAGGTGGCGTACGTGCTGAAGCGGAAGCCGCGGCGCACGTCGTAGCGGTCGACGGCCTTGAGGAGGCCCACGATGCCCGCCTGCACCAGGTCCTCCAGGTCAAGGCCGACGCGCGGGAACGACTGCGCCACCGACACCGCGAGGCGCAGGTTGCCCTCCACCAGCCGGCACTTGGCCGCCACGCCCTGCTCCACCCTGCAGCAGCGCACCCGCAGCGTCAGCCGGCACGCGAGGGGGGGCCGCACAGCGGAGGAGCAACCAGCGGTACAGCATGCACCGGCAAGGCGGACGCAGAGGGCAGGCATCAGCGGGGCCCAAAGGGAACAGCACAGGCGAGAGGGAGTCGCGCGTTCAATCTCCAAACAACTATGATTTCCACTTATGCGCCTGGACCTTGTGACAGGTCCTTCGTAATACATGCAATCATCCAAACGCACACCCACTGTCCACTGCGACTTTTGGAGTGGCACGTGTCTAGTTGCAGGAAAGAGCAGCATGGAGCCCGGAGAGACAGGCGGGGGTCTGCACCTTCGCCGCAGTTCTCCAACGGAGCTCAGCTCTGAAGCCTCGCTCCACTCCTCGTCACTGGGGGAGCGCTGTAATCGAACTTCTAATTCATCTCGGACTGCACGGAGGGCGTGGTATGCCTGCAGATTGAAAACCCTTCGTAAGCGGAGATACAGTGCGTCTATACAAATGTAGGGACTTCAGATGCAACAGTGCCATAAAGTACTCTTCCGGCCACAGATTTGTCTCCACGACGGCCTTCATTTACAGCTGTTTGTATCAAACTTGCCCATTGGGTTCCCTCCTCTCCCAAGCAAAGTTCCTGATCTCAAATGTTTGCTGCCTTCCTTGTCGTTGATCATACGATCCAAGATCAGGAAACATGCTTACAGCATTTTTAACCCGATGGCAGTTTTGATGCAGAGAATGTACATGCACCCCCTGCGCCCGAGGAGGGGCCCTCACCAGAACCCTGCGGCTGAACTTCTTCTCCTGCGGCAGCGTGAGCCGTGGGTAGCACGCCAGCAGCAGGTGCAGGTGCGTCGCAGTGCCCGTCTGGTCCGCCCCATCGCGCCGCGCCGCCGCCTCCGCGCTCCGCTCGTACTGGCGCGCCCTCTCCTGCAGCAGCTCGCGCAGCCGGGCGGTGGAGGCCTGCTGGCGCCGCACGCGCCTCTGGACCAAGGTCTGCGTGGCGGGAGCTGCTGCCGCCACCAGGGCCTGGACCTGCGGGGCTCACGAGGATGAGCGGCAGAGCTAGCAGCAGAGGGAGAACGAGCAGCATTATCAGCGTATCAGGAATTTGTTGGGTTGAGAGCCGAGGCTCCGGAGCAAGCCAGTCGTTCCATCAATCTGGTTGGTCGATCTGGTGCACACAAAGGCCTAGTACGGCTCATACCAATTTGAGAAGTCGTCCCACAATTGTGCAAGTTCAAGATGAGTGCGCTGCTCAAGCATTGGGATGAAGTGGCAGAATGGCAGGAGGGCCCCTTCACCTTCTCTGAGGGTGCTGCGGGTGCTGCAACCACCGAGACCCGCCCGTTCCGGATGCGCACCAGCCGGTCCCCCAGGCGCACTGTGCCATCCTGCCAGACGGTGTCCCGGTGCTCCCCCCGCCGCACCCATTCCTTGTACACCGCCATTGTAGCCGCCTCTGACCCCGTCACCTCAGCGCACTTGCTGCGCTCCTCCAAGGGAGGCTGGCGGCTGACCAGCGGTTCTACCCGGCGGCGCTGTGCGGGCTGCCTTCCAGCTGCCGCATGCCGCCAGTCAACGACCTCTGCGGGCAGCGGGGGCGGCCCTGTAGGGACACCCCCGTGCCCAGAGCTGCGCAACGCCTCCCCTGACTGCGTGCCTACTGCGTGAAGGCAGCACACACGGATACCACCTGGTGCGCACTTGCTTGGTGAACACGGGTGTGCCGTCTTACGTAAGTAACATGAATTGTCAAGACTTGATATTTGGGCGCTAGCCATCACAGACATATCCTAGTATGTGTGTAGCAAGGACCATCGGGAGTCCAATTGAGGTCAGGCACAGCTTCGCCCCTCCAGCCAGGACCTGCTCACATGCAGCATGCCACACCAAGCCCAACCAGGATGAGAAGAGAAGAAGAGCACAAAAAGACCGTGGTCAAAATCCAGATACAAGAGATTCTGTCATCTATTCAAGAGGGAGACCTCAAAGTGACACATGCCCCTTCTAGCTGCAAGACCTTGCAACAGCTTTTCGAGCAGAATCCGGCAACTTGCAAGCTGCCTTGCTTGATCGCAAAAGAAAAGTTGCAAGCCCCACTCAGGCACGGCTTTTATTCTGGGGTCTGCAAGAAGATCTCCTGGACAGCGTCAAGGTCTTGAGATATGTCACACCCAAGCCACACCACCAGCATCAGGCAAAGCTGCAGGCTCTCTGCCGCACCGCCCCTTTCAAATTCTAGGCTACCTACGTTGCGCCAAACTTGAAATGGGGGTTCACACTCTTTGTGCGCGCTTTTACTACGGTATGGTATTAGGACCTGCATCTAAATAAATTTAAAATTTCGACACTCGAGAATGACGCTTCCACGTCAGAACAGCATGGTTTCCCACGAAGTTTTCTCCCGGCCGGCCAGCTATTGGCGTCCCCCCAGTTCTGTGGGCTCGGTAGTAGAGATTTGGCTCTACCGGCCGGCTGGCCCCGCCAAGCACCTGCATTTGCTGCCGCCTAGGCAGCCGGCGGGGTGCCTTCGGTACCGGTCGGGGTCCCTGCTCGGCCGGCCTTGTCCTGGTTCTCCTGCAGCCGGCTGTGGAACCCCTGCAGAACAGGTTAGCGTTTGGATGGTGTGTGTCAAAAAGAAGGCATAAATATTTACCCCGAAAACTTGGGTATTTGGGTTGGGTAAATTGGCTGCTCGAATGACGTCATCTTTGCTTTGCACGAATGAAAGGAAGGGTTTTGGGGTTTTAGGGTTTTAAAGAACGTTGATGTGCATTGCATCAAACAACTTCTGCGCTTTCAGGATCTGCAAAAATCTCGGAGATCGAAAGTTAGGGTTTTAGGGTTTTTCAACTTTTTGCATGACGTCATCATTATTTGGTTTTAGGGTTTTGGAGTTTTAGGGTTTTAGGGTTTTAGGGTTTT